TTGGTTTAGTAATTACTTTTTCTTCAAGTTGGATTGGCTGGCTGCCTTTTCTCAAGTTTTCATAATGATGTCTTTCTAAGAAATCTATGCTTTCATAACTTGAGTTAAAATGATCTCTTTATGTTCCTTCAATCTGTTTGGAAACCATTACTGGTACTTAATCACCTTTGAATTTCCTTGTGTCTAGTATAATCGTTGGCATTTATTTGATACTTGTTAATGGGCTTATTGAATAAATGAGTGAATGAGTGGTAAGAATTCATGGCTGATAAAATAAAGATCACTGTCTAATAGATTTTGTCTTCTAAATAACCAAAATATAGATTTAAAATAGAAAAGGATAATTTTTATTCATTGAGAAAGATAAAACCATTTGGGAAGACTTTCTATAGATTTGGGGGATATTAGATCCTCAACAATATTGTTAAGAGTTACTCTTGGAGAGAACTTGCCTCTTGTGAGTTACATAATCATTTAAGATCTTTCTGTGTTTAATTTGGATTTTTGAGTAGAAAAATGGATATATAACTGGTCCATAATAGTTTATCATTAATTTTCACATAATTGCATGGTTTACTTACTAAGAATTAATCTCCTGTTAACTTGGGTTTATTAGTTATATTGTTCAGAGTCTAGTCACTTTGGATAAGTTTGATAATTTATAGATCCATCAAACTGAGGGATGTGATCAGTACCAAGATCTTTTTCAGCTTTAAGATTTCTGATCTTATACTTTTAATTGAAAAATAAAAAACATGTTTGATATTGTATTAATTTGGTATAAATCAAAATCCATGGGAATTGTAGAGAAACTTGTGACAAATTCTTTAAAATTTTACATTCTTTACCCAAAGTGTTATAGTTAAGGAAGATTATTCATATAATTTTCTCAATCAAGACATATTAAGAAAAGAATGGAAAATGCACTGTGAAATAAGAGGAATGCAACCTGGGCATGAAGGAGTATAGAACGATATGGAATAAAGAATAAGTAGCTGAATTTTTAATTGGTTATATTTTTTCCCAGAACAAAACACACATTACATTCCAGACTTTTTGTAGCTACATTAGGCCATGGATCTAAGTTCCGGCCTTGAGCCCTTTATGAGAAATATTTGTGGAAATTCTCTAAAAATTAATTAAAAGAAATGAATTCTGCTGGATATTTGATTTGTCCTTCTGATTTCCTTCTTCACTTTTAGTCTGAAAATCATTAGTAATGGCTGGAGTGCCAATAGCCATTTTGGAATATGTGGTGATTCTGAGGGCCAAAGCCAGGTATTGGAATAGTACAGAAGACAGGAATCTGGGCTTTTTCAAAAATTTTGGAGCTACAATATTTACCTGTAATTCCAAACTTTAGGCTTTTTGTGCATGTGAGAAAAATAAGGTTCCATTTTGCTTAACTCGTTGAGCCCAAACTAGAACTCAGAGTCTGTTTACATCTGACGAGTCCTTGACTTGGCATCCTTCACCATCAATTATTAGTATGTATTAACAGGATAGATGGGAAGCTATTCCTCTATGTAGCAATGATTTGTTAATTCCAAATATGACCAGGTCATATTTCTCTTATTTATACCTGTGAATTTGTGTCCATATTCTTTTTGGGAGGTTAGCATTGTGTGTGTGTGTGTGTGTGTTTGTGTGTGTGTGTCTGTGTGTGTGTGTGATATTTTGTTTTTGTGTTAGGATAGTCAATGGTAATCTACCTGGTAAGTGTTAAAGAAAGACTTGGTATAGGAAAAAGTAACATCTTGCCTGAAATTGTGAATTAAGTGAATTCTCCATCGTGCATAATGGAATCAGCTTTATATTTCCTATGTAATACCTTAAACAGATCATTCATTCAACTGACATTCTTTTAAGCTAAAAAGAGTTAAATAAATTATAAGAGGGCTTTGTTATTTAGTCAACTAATGTCTAATATACAGGGGTCACTGTTGAATTTGGAGAAAGTAGAAAAAAGAAAAGGAGAAAAGTTAGACAAAAGTATAAGTCATTTACCCAGATAATTGCCTTCTTAAATTTTTTCAAAAAACAAACTTTTACCAGCCATGGTAGTACATGCCTACAGTCCCAGCTATGTAGGAAGTGGAGGTAGGAGTATCACATTGTGAAGCCAGCCTGGGCAGAAGTACATTTCCTATCTGAATACAAACTAAAAACCAAATGACTCTGGATGTGGCTGAAGTGGTAGAGTGGAGGCCCTGAGTTCACCTGAAGTACCATTGAAAGAAAAAATATTTCCTGTGTTGAAAGACAGGAATATAATCTGTTTTTTCCCCAGATGACATCAGCCTATTGGTATTTAAATTACTATCAAATATTAATGTGTAGATTACAAGTGATTATAGCTGTCTCTTTAGTGCTCTTGTCACAAGTCTTGAGGTATCACATATGCTTATAGTCAGTTTGCTCATATTATTCACTTACTGATCACTCTGGTGCTTGCAAGACTCTTCAGGTAGGAGTCTCTCCATCCATCTCACAGCAGGATCTTCCAGGAGAGCTCTACCCTGCGAAAAGGAGGCTATGTACATGTTCCAATCCCATGACTCCCAGTGATGATGAATTTGATTTAAACTTCGTGGGGCTGCACACCAACATGGTCTGTTTAATGAGCATACTATTTCTTTAGCCAACTCTGTTAGCTTGGCATTCTACTGCTTATTTCCTGAGTATCACAAAGTCTACTAAGATAACATTTCTTATTTAAAGCACCATAATATGCAGTCTTTTATCGGGCTCTATTTCTTGGACTTCAATCCACCTCCATCCCACCTCCCATCTTTATTCTTCCATGCACTTTATCTCATGCTCATAGATGAACCAGAGTGCTGATGACCCATCAGTTCATAATATATAACCAAACTCTGAATTCTAGTTTGAGTTCAATGGAACCCCTGCAGCTCTAGAACTAAGTTGGCACTCTAGATAGCTTTGATAAATAGCTAGTTGAGAATAAAGCTGCAATTTCTTGATTGTATATATGTCAGTGTGCATATATGCACATATAATACACATGTGTATGCATACCTATATATGTTACATACATATACCTATATGTATAACAATATACAATAAAAGTTGTCATCTGTATCAACGTGATATGTTTGATACCACCAACAGTGCCATTTTTTCATTCTCATCTCTTTCAGTTCTAAAACAAAATACAAAAGGAATGGCACATACTACAACATGTATATTACTTATTCAACATTTATTCAGATAGAAATATGAGTAATATACTTAGTTAAAATATGTATGTTTGGTTGTGTGCAGAAAAGCTTCTATACATGGGTTTAGTTCTTTTGAGATTATTTTAAAGGTTCTTTTTATGACATAAAGGATAGAGCCACAAAATGTTTTTCTTTTTGCAGTCTCCCTTTAGTACCCATCACTAGTCTTACTGAGTAAGAGAGCTACAGATGGGTAGAGAAGATACAGAGAGGCTAGAACTTCTGTGTGTACTTTTGTACACAATGTAAATGTTGAGCTACTTTTTATTGACATAGAAATAATGGCATAAAATGATATAAAAATTACTTCCTGAACTACATTTTATCACCTTTGCAAGAGCACACTTTGTGTGTTTTCAAACAAAAATCTTAACCATCTGAATTTAGGACTATAAAGTATGTTTGTGACAACACAGGATCCTTCACAGTAACAGCCATACGGTTAAAATGCTCACTTACTAGAAAGTGGTTAGACCCATTGAGAAGTATTTTCTTAAGCTATCTGGTTAGAGAAAGATTTGAAACATTTTTTAAAATGATGCAAAAAGTCACACCATCTGAGAAACCCAAGGTGTAAAGTATATCCCACACTACTGTAGTGGAGAAAAGTTCCAAACTATGAAAATCCAGAGCAATTGTTTAGCAGCTTGTGTGGTCGCCTTTAAACAAATAGAAAGAAACAAACGGGGTTCATTCACCATACGATCTTGTTGAAAGAGGGTCCCAGTACAGTAGTTTTTTTATTTTAAGACTAGCCAGATGTGCACCTTTCTATGGACAAAAAGGATGGAGCCACAGGAAGAGAGGTTAAATTATGCTGGAAGACAATGGCAGATACAAGGTTGATTTTTTACAACGGAGAAAAATCTGTGTAAAGGTGATTCAGACAAAATACAACAGCTGAGTTCTCCTCAGTGATTTGTGCAGAAACGAATTGAATAAAAAGAGCAACATACATGTTACTACTTCCCATTGTTTGGTACATTTAACTGCCCTGGCATGACCACCAGAGTCTATTTCTTTTTCACCAGCCTGATGTTTGAATCCCTCTAGAACTAATAGTAAAACTGGAAACACTCAGAACTTTAGGAGTTGTAGTTGGCAAACAGGTTTTATCCTTAGCTTACTGGATGTGAGGTTCACAATTCGTCTTAGAAGCTTGATGACTGTTGCTCTTTTTTGATAGCCAACAAGAAACCCTGTCTCAAAGCTGCTTGGCTGAGGTCCTGGGTAGAAGAGTTTGGCAGCCCTAGGGAGATGGATTTCTTAAGCCTGTGACTCGCCCAGAGTGGAGAAGCAACACCCTCCCAGCCTCTACTCTGTTGCTAAGAAACAAAAGACTAGGAAGGTGAGCAAAGCAGGAAGTCCCGCCTTTTAGCCCCAGTTGGCTTTGGCTCCCGCTCCCTACGCTCACGCCCACCTGCCCACCCTTCATTGGATCGCGCCTTAGGGCTTGCCTCTCTAGTTTCAGGACATTTCCCTTTTCTAATTTCGCTCCAGGAAAATCCAGGCCCATTTCCCTCTGAGTTCCTTTGCTTTTGGGACGTGCGACAAGCGGGCCTTCCTTTGGGGCCATTGTGTACTGTGGAGGACGTGGACCCGGTGGTAGCGCGAGGAAGACGGGCGCCTCCAGCCCATTGGCTTCACCCGCTGTCGAGCAATTTGCGAGCTCTCAGGATTGGCTTAGTGGTTCCCAGCCCCGCCCCCGGCCCCGCCCCGCGGCTGAGTGTCTGTGTATGTTACAGGGGTGGGGTGTCCAGCGAGTGGTCTCCTCCTCATGCTAGTGCTGCTGCGGCCTCCCGAGAGTCGGGCGGGAGGGGAGAGCGGGTGTGGATTTGTCTTGACGGTAATTGTTGCGTTTCCACGTCTCGGGGGCCTGAGCGCGAGGTTGCTCCTTCCCGGAGAGAGTGCCATTAGGGCGGCTACACAGTGCCCGCCCGCCGGAGCGAGCCCAGCGCCCCGAGCTGCGTGCGTGGAGAGTGGGAGCGCGCACACGCGTGTCTCGGGGCAGCCACCGCGCCGAGAGCTCGGAGGGACGGGGCGCTGGGGAGGCTGGGCGCTCGCTCCGCACGGGGGCCCTGGGCAGCCGGGCCACAGAGGGAGAGGGGACAGCCCAGCTTCCAGCTGCCGTGGCGACTGCCCTGCACAGTTTGCAGGGGTCACTTAAAAGCTTAGAACCGGGCGGCCGGGAGGGGAGACCGGAGGCTGGGAGCGCAGCCGGCCCGAGGTGCGCCCACCCTGACGCGGGCGCTCGGACAGCCCGGGCTGCGGGGCGCTGGAGAAGCCAGGGGTGCTTTGTCCTCCCTGCCTTCGTCGTCCTCCGCAGCTGAGGTCCGAGAAGAGGCCTGAGCAGGGAGGGGACACAGACGTCCTGAAACAATGCTTTGGATACCCTTTTACCCTTAGGTGAGATTAGAGGCGAGGAACCCAAGAGTGAACTCTGCCTTCCCTGCCCGCTCTTGTCAGTTTCTCAGCCGCTTTGGAAAAAAACGACCTATTTGTTTGCTGTTTATTTGGCTTTGGGGAATAACTACTCACCGCCTTGGTTTAAAGGACTGTGTGTTCATGTCCGCACTTGGTGGTTTTAACCCGGGAAATCCAAGTCCCTCGTCTGTGTTGACAACAGACATGGTCCTTAAGTGTGTGTAGAAATAGACTTTACATTTTATATAATAACTTGGAGAGATCTAACAGTGAGTGTGAGGTTTCTGAGTGAGGCCCCGAAACGTGTTCTAGGAGTTAAAGTTGTAGTATTTTGAATTAGGGTTAAGGCAGAGAGGGGGAGAACATTGTGTTCTTATGTATATGGAGAGAACTTACTTGTTTTGTTGTTATGAGTTGGGTATCAGTTAAGCTTTAGCTATTTGAAACTTGAGAAGGATGCATCTTTAACTCAGTATTCTAAAAGGAAATCTAGGGTCATTGCTCCTAAACTTACTTTATGTAAAATGGAGAATGCAGTTACATAGGGCTATTGAAAAGTTGATCTAGGACCTTTGGGTTGGTCTCATTGATGGAGGAGAATGTAGTGTATTCAGGTTATCCTGTTTGCTTTCCTGTGGGGTAGAATAAATTCTTTCTTACTCAACTAACTACTTTTTAAAAAATTTGCCTTTCAAAGAACTAAAATTCCAGATGGCAAATTCTATGAATGGCAGAAACCCTGGTGGTCGAGGAGGAAACCCCCGAAAAGGGCGAATTTTGGGTATTATTGATGCTATTCAGGATGCAGTTGGCCCCCCTAAGCAAGCTGCTGCTGATCGCAGGACTGTGGAGAAAACTTGGAAACTCATGGACAAAGTGGTAAGTTAAGTCTGACTGTGTGTTCCTAGCCATATTCATCCTGGATGTGGTTTCTCCAGGTGTATGAATATATACTGTTAATTAATAATTATGGATATGACAGTAGTCTTTTGATTTGTATTTAACATTTTTATTCTGAGTGTTTTGAAAAGTTGGGTTCAGAGCAAAAACTTTGGTTGTTTTTTACCTTTTGTCCTGCTCTTCAAGGTTCAGAGTTCTTCTACATACATGACTCAGATATGCAAAATTTTTACCACTGGCTGCTTTTTGTGGGTGTATGGTCATAATATAGTTTAGAAATGTTTGTTGAGTCTCATGTGAGGTTGTGTTGCTCTTAGATAACAAAAAGGTGCAAACAAGTAATTTAACAAATTGTTTGATGGAGCAATTATGACAACCACATGTGTGATGCTCAAAATGTTTACTCAGGAAAGAACCAGATTAGTCCCCAAGTGAGGAAGTAGTGTTTGAGAGTTTCCATTTTCATCTTTGAGAATTCATCTTCATTAAGAAACTTTTTTAACTTTTTTATTGTTAATGGTATAGTTACAGTTTCTTTCATCTACTATTCCATTTTGAAACAGGAAACCTTTTCGATTGCACATTGTTTATTGTGAAAGGAAAATTTATGTTGGGGGTTGTGGAGCTGAGAGTGTCAGAAACTTCTGTGGGTTTTGCATGTTGCTTTCAGACGAACTCTAATTTTACAACACGAAGTGAAGCTGGATGTCATTTCTCAGAGAAGTATAGTTAAAAAGACAACCTGAATATTTCACAGGGATCTACTGTAAAACTGTAGGTTTCAGGACTATTTATGATTGTAAAATTCATATGATAAAGATATAGTGTGCTGCTTTTCAAAAATTAGTGCTTTGTAAATTTGTAGCAGTTGCACTTCCTGTATATATTGGTAATGTGTGTAGCAACTTATGGCTTAATAGATATTGGGACTAATTATAAATTTAGTTGAGACAGGGCTTTTGATATCATTTTAACTGCAGAAATGGGGATTAAAAAATGCTCTTGCAAATATGTGCCAAAGCCTACCTGAATCATATGGTAGCAAGCACCTTTGCTTTGTTATGTTACTATATAAAGTAACAGAACACTTTACTGTATAAAGTGGCTACAAAGAAGCCACTATTGGGAATATTAGCAATGCAGTAGGGTGACTTATCTTTATGGGAACTATAGATAAGATGGATGAATGATGGGCCTGTCACTATATGGCTAGTGGTATTAAATGCAGAGCCTGAATATTTCTGACATAAATATCCTTAGTTTTGGGTTTCAGTGTGACCTATTTAAACTTCTGCCAATTTATTCAAATTGTTATATTAAAGTGCTCCAGACAGAATGATGTCAGAGTATAGAACATTGTAACTTGCTGCTTGGGGTCAGGTTTGGTTTTAGTATTAGACATTTAAGAATGAGGAGTATGCAGTTGGAAAACATTACATATATTTGGCAGGCATAATATCAGCTGTTTTTGCTTTTCTTTAGAGTTTGCATTTGAAAGTCATTCTTCTTGCCTAAATCATTATTTGGGAGTAAGAGAAGGGCTTCAGGATTTTGTCTAATTTGTCTGTCATACAAGTAGGCAGATAGATTTTACAGAGGAGCTGTTACTGCCTGTCCATATACTTCTTTGAGTGGTCAAAATTTGTGTATTTGTGGAATGAGAATTAGAACATCAAATCAAAAAGATTTATGTAAGGAAGTGGTGAGCAATACTTATTGTAAAGTCATTACTGAAACAGTAAAAAAGGGTATGTGTAATTTTGGCCTGTGACTGGTTATTAACATAAGTTTTATCTGCTTTTAATTATTTCACCATGAGTTATGGTAAAGCGGATGGTTATTTGATAGTTAAACATCTGTCATTGTTTATTTTATTAACCCTTTTGTGGGTTTAGGTTTAGCTTCTATAGTTGAGGAATTTGACTCACAAGGATATCTATTATCCAAAGTCTCTACTTAGTGGGATGTGGGTGAGGGTGTTGGCAAGGGTGCATTACTGTGGCTTTCCCTATTTATCTTCATTACTTGTCAAAGATCAAAATGGTGAATGCATCTGTGGGCTTTGTGGAGAGGAATCACATGAATTATTATGAAAGAGCCAGTACGTTTATTCATGCTCTATCACATAGTAATAGAAAAGCACTGATAATTATTACTTGGCAACATATGTTATTGAAGTGTGTAATGTAGAAGCATCCCCACATGTGTTCATCTTTTTGTATTTGTCACTGGTGAAGGGAGTGGTTCATAATATCAACATTGTCTGATGATTACATCAGAAACTTTATCATTAGTCCAAAAGTCAACTCCTTGACACATTACCTGTTTTTTTTTTTAATAACTGTAATAGCATGAATTTAGCTTGTGAATAATGGAAAACAGGAACTTTCAGGTCTAATTGGCTGTTAAAGAAAAGTCAGGACTAAGTGTGAAGTGAGCATAGTTTTCTTTATGAAGCCTTCTCATAAGGGCAGATCTTTCAAGTTTAACTAAAAAGTAAAATAACTTATTTTATAGGAGATAATGAAGCAATCTTGGACTGTAAGAGAAATACCTGGTGGTGTGGAGTTTCATCATTCTTTGGTCTATAGAACTTAAAATGATCAACTGAGATACCAGTTCTAACTAATTGTTCTGTTTTCAGAGGGCAGGCTTTCTCTCTAAGGTCTCTGACTGTAGGACAAATTAACTCATTTGGGTTCTTTTTAAGATATGTAGAGTGTTTTGTAACAACATCAGTATCACAGAGGTACCACAGTGCTTGTACTGAATAAAGGAAAAGCAATGTATGTCAAAGCATCCTATTTGTTTAGATTTTTTGGTCTTAGCCCTATGCATCAGTCTAAGTCAATAGCTGATCCCCAAGCTTCAAAACCTATAATCAGTGGATGCCTTTTTGATGCAATGATAGACTTGGTCTCATGAATACATGTTTAGGTTCATCTGTGCCCAAAATGAAACTTGGAGTTTGTTCCAAAGTTATTTACAGAAACAGAGTTTCTTAAACACTTAATAGGCATTTATTGAAGACCTAGTATGTTTGTATTAAATGCTTAGTACTGAGATTATAAAGATATACCCTGCCTCTGGTCTGCATAGGAGCTCAGAACAGCACCAGAGCAGAGCATATAAGTGGATAATTGCTGTGTAGTGTGGAAAGGGCTGTAGCGTAGTATAGTGGGAGTAAAGTAGAGAACATCCACCTTATTTTTTTTTGGCCACTGTTAAGTTTTCTGTCTGGATACTCCTGGCCATTGCCTTTTAGGAATAGCATTATTGTGTTCTTGTTGAAAATGCTGAAGTGAGGGTAAGGAAATGATTGCTAATCAGTATGTTCGGAATCATAATTTATTAATATGAGTGTCGTGGTTTTCACAAGAGTCTTAGCCAGGTGATGGAAAATAGAAGAAATAGTTTTCCATCTAATAGACGCTAAGTGTACTAAGCATATGTGGATGCCTGGGAAATTAGAAAATAATTGATGCTAGAGCAAAGTGAGTGAGTTGAGTACCTGCCTACGTTTTTGTCTTTCTGTCCTTATCATTTATTCAAAATTACATGAGAGTATTAAAAGCATTTAAAAAGTGACGATGTGAAATAGCCCTTTCCTGCCTTTTACTCTTAGTACATTTAGTACTCAAACTTGAAGTAGAATTCATTCTGTCTTTATAATTTCATTATGTCCATGATGTATTTTAAAGTTTATCAATCAAAAATGCTTGGACTGTATATAAATATTTAAAAACTTTATTAAAAACATTGAATTCCTTATTCCTCTGGAAAATATTCTGTGTGGAGTATAACTTAGGTTTTGGATGCAAAGTGTTTGTTATTTTGAGAATATCACCTTTCTAGGACCTTGAAACAGGGAGTATCATTCATTTCAGTATTTTTCATACAGTTCCTTTGCTTTATTGAAGATGCTCTCTGAGCAGAATCCTGGGTCTTAGTAGATTTGGATAACACATTTAGTGTCTGGACAATTTTTTTAGTATGGAGTTGGATTTGTAAAATGATCCCAAAGTTTGGTACTTGTGATTACTAGGAAAAGCTTTATTTGATAAAGTACAAGATTTATAGGAATCTAAGTAAGAGTTACTATGCTTTATCCCTGTGATAGAAGGTAAACATACAACAAAATCTTTAATCAGTAGTCCTTTAACTCCTATAAAAATTTTAGCATTTAGATTTTGAATCAATTTCTTTCTTTCAAAAGTTGTTTTGCATGCTTTCTCTTGACTTCCTTCCTCATTTATAAAATCCTAACTATGGAAAGGTTGACATTTATAAATAACTGTGCCACAGTACAATGTAGTAAGTGCTATGAATTGGTAGATACAAAATACTGAGGCATAGTGTGTGGTGGAGGTGAATGCTGCTTGCTGAGGGTAGCAGTTGATAGACAAGGACACATGAAGAAGATACCATGCAGGTGTTCTTACAGGATGATTTGGATTTCAGTGAGATGGATGGCCTTGTTAGCTGAACAAATGATGGAAGATTATTGAGTGAGAGAAGCTAAATTAGAGGATGATGATAGAGGTTTTGACTGCTTTCCCATAGAATTTTGACTTAATTTATTTGGTAGATAGATAATCATTGAAGGCTTTTGAGAATGAAGAAGAAAAATCTAGGCTATTCCTTGATCTACTACTTTATTGACTCTATGAATGTTGGTTTAAGAGAAAAGACAGTGAAAACAGGAATAATGATCAAAAGAAATGAAAACATTCTAGATAAGAAATAATTGGCTTAAAGAATTGACAGTTGGTATAGCAAATTTTGGTTCAAGAGTAGAAGGTATTTTGGAAGTAACATCTGCAGATCTTTACGGCCCTTCAGAGTTAAGAGAATGAAAGAGAAGGTGAAGTGAAAGTGACTCTTGAGGTTTTTCAGCCTAGTTGATTCTGAAGGCAGTGATGCTTTTAATGAGATAAGGAACATAGGAAGGAAAAGATTGAGCTTGGGGGTTGGTGTAT